CCCTCAGACCCAGATCTTTCAATGCTAGTGTTCTTGAGGACTGGGGTGGTGGTGGCTCCCACTCTTCCTTTGATACCACCAAGGGTTTTTCAGCAGGCCTTCCCTGAGAAGATCCCTCAAGGGGATCCTCAGTGCTAGTTCTAAGAGACCCTGCATGCTCCTCAAAGTCCTTGGAGTTCACCTTCTGAGGACTCTACGTTTGTTCACCCTCTGAGGACTCTACATTTACCAGGTCAGGGCTAGGCATGGCATTAGAACCATTTCCTTCTCTATTGTCTATTTCCTCTCTAGGAATTAATTCTACTGCTTTAATCCTGAGATGGTGAACCTGCAGCCCTCCAGATTCTATTGGACTCCAACCCATCAGCCCCAGTCAGCATGGCCAGTGATCAGGGATGACAGGAGCAGCAGCCCAACAACATATGGAGATCCACAGGGCCCCCTGCCCCTACTTTAGCCCTCTTCTTTAACACTGCCTTTGGATCCTTTCTTTTTCTCCCTCCGCACACAAAAATAATTGTGTGTGCGTGTGTGAAGTGCAGTGGGGGCAGGGAGAAGTAGTATTTCACCCTTTCTCACACAAATAATGGTCCCAGTGAAAACTGTCCCCCTCCAACATTTGGGGCAGAGGAAATGAAGGCTGCACACTTGGCCACAGAGTGTTAGTTTTCTGGAAGCAGAGCTCTGCTTCCGCTTCTAATTTAAGACAGAACAGCTGTGATGGGAATGCTGCCACATCTGGAAGCCCCCCTAGAAGAAGCCCCCATTGGGGTTGTCTTCTATCCTCGTTTGTGTGCAACGTGTGGCTCCGCCCTTAAAACATTCCTCTTTTTGGTTTGTTCCAGGACACGAAGGAAAGATCGGGATGGCATCCATATGCCTGAAGGATGGGCTGCCCTTTGATGGGAAGGAGGTGTATGCCCATGCCAAGGACTGCTTGCCAAACTATGCTATACCTCGCTTCATTCGCATCCGGGTAAGGTGCTGCTCTGTTGCATCACTCTTTAGTCTGTATTATTAATGTTGTTAGCTGTCAGGAGTGAGCCATCAGTAAATCACATGGAGTATGTGAAGTTAACTCTTTGGTACAAAAAACAGGATCTGCGCAGGAGTGCCAGGCCTAATAAGCACACCAACTCTTCTTCAGCAGGTCTTGCCTCCATGAGGCAGTGGTGGAGAATGAAGGTCCCTCCCTTCCCACAGCTGTCTATGTCACCTCCTCTTCCAGCAAGCAATATGAGACTGTGCCTGCCTGCCTGTCTCTGCTCCTCCCGCTTCATGCCTCTCCTGGTTCTGAGATACTAGTGAGGAAAGGAACGGGTCACAGCAGGAGGGGGAGACACCTGTGCTTCTTCACCAGCCTGTCCCATCTCTGCTTCTTGGCCTCCCTCCTCTCCTGCTTCTGATTCCGGACTTCTCTCTGCCGCCGCCTCTTCCTGCTCACTAAACCCTGTTACCTGTTAGCTCTCAAGAAGCGGGAGAGTTAGGAGGCAGCCAGAGTGTTGCTAGGCAATCAGCAGATAAGCAGAGGACTGAGAGTGTGTCGAGTGGAAGGGGGAAGGCCAGCCTCTCAGTCCCCGTTCTAGGAGAATGGATAAGGTCAGAGGACAACGGATGGGCAAGAGGGGAAGGGCTGGAATTTAACGTCCTTCCTGCTGTGAAAGGGGCGGAGATTCAGACTGACCAACTATCGTCAATGCGAGCAGGCGAGAAGCCGTGCTCTGGATGTGTTTTTTATAAATAAACGTAACATAAAACTGTCAGAGAGTCATTACTTCTTATCAGGGCTTGCTTGCCTGCCCGAGATTATTACAGGTGGGGCGTCATTCATGCTTCTGTACTCACCCCAGTGCCCTTTTTCACACAGGACATGCTGGAGACCACAGGCACCTTTAAGCAGCTCAAAAGTCAACTGGTGAAGGAAGGATTTGACCCTGTCATCATCAGGGACCCTCTCTTCTTCCTAGATGACTTGGAAAAAAGTTACGTGCCAATGACTCAGCAGATCTTCAGTGCTATTGCAGAGAAGAAACTGAAGCTGTGAATGCCTCTTTAGCTGTCCTTAGTAGCACAGGAAACCCAGGAACAACTAGAGCACTGAACACTTTGGCTTTTGTCTGGGAAGGGCATGCATGCATCTCCATGAATTCTTGAGAATCCTGCACAAGTTAGTTTGGAGGACCTTTTTTTTTTTTTTTAAAGGAGTGCCTGGTTTTTCTTTTCCCCTGTAGACTTTGTCCTTCTGTGTTCACACAACACATTTGCTCTGCAATGTATATATTGCAAACTACATACATGAGGCTGTCACCGGGGTCCTCTGCTCCCTACCCACTGGAATGTTTTTTGCGTGTTATCACACATTTGCATGTAGCTGTGCATACATGTGCAGATGTGGTCCAGGGATTAATGTAAACCTGTGCAGGAAGCAATCTTCGCCAGTTGCCACTTTTGTGTTTATTGCAGGGAGATATCTGTGTGTCATTTGCAGAGATCTTCCAGGCAATATGTTTGTGGAGCATTCATCCCACCCTATTCGTTTTCGCAAAGTTTGTGCAGACATCGCATCAAACAATTGCTATTCTGCCGTTTCCAGTGCATTTCCCTGTCACTTCCCGTACCAAAAGTTCAGGATTTGTGTTTGTTTGTTTGAAGCAGGCTTGCTGCACAAGATAATCAAATCTGCTTTAATTGCACAACCTCAATTTGCTGGTATAGGATGGAATCCCACCCACAAAATAGCTACAGTCTGGAATTGGCCACAATTGATGGCAACACATTTAAATGCTGCCACTTAAATTCAGGTGAACCAGCCTCAGAAAGCACAGTGTGGTCTTCATGCTTCTAGGCTGGAACCTCATGGAGGAAACATCACGTTGTCTTCTCATTAGTTTGTGTTCCCCTTTTGTATTTTTATGTTGTGAACCACCTTGTGAACTTCGAATGGATTTAATAAATAATATTAATGATACGACCAGATCGTTGCGCATCTGGAACAACAAAAGAACTAGGATCGGTGCTTCATTTCAGTAGGGTTCCAGACATTGCATGGTCTTGGAATGTGGTCCAAAAGTGATGGTTTTCCAGAGATGCTGGAAAATGTGATCTCAGAGCATTCTTCTGAGTACAGAGTACATTCTTCTGAGCACAGAGGATTTCAGCCACACCCAGTCATCGGTAGATAGAGCAAGATAGATATAGGATGGGTGTAAAAACGTAGGCTGGAGGGCTTTAGGAAGATAGGGCAGGGGGATGAAGGAATATACTGAAAGGAGGACTGGGTGATTTTTTTTCAGGGGGTGTACATATGACAGGAGCTGTAGCTGGGGCTGCTGCACTGAGCTGGAGCTTGCAAGGAGCAGATCAGAAGCTGCTTTATACCAAATCAGACAACTGGTCCATCTAGCTCAGTATTGCCTACCATACACTGACTGCAGGAGCTGTCCAGGGTTTCGGGCAGGTGTCTCTCACAGCCCTATATCTGGAGATTCTGGGGATTAAAGCTGAGGCCTTCTGTATGTAAGGCTCTGCCACTGCACTACAGCCCTTGACCTAGCCATAACCAGATGTACATATATGCAATGTTCACAGAGGGCAGCATTTGGCCTGCACATATGTCAGGATGCTGTCAGCGGCTCCTGGCTGGTTGCCCAGGAAAGTACAAAGACAAGGGAAAGTTTCTTACCATTCTTATTTTATTTCAATCTTTACAGCAGAGAGAGGCTATAGAGCCCAGCCTCTTGGATAATGGCATTGTCCTGAGTGAATCTCTGCCCCCCCCCGGCTCTTCCACTTCCTCATTCGTCATTCTCATTGTCTTCTCTATGGGTGCTGCTACGTGCCCTCTGTCTTTGAGCTCTTTGCTATCCTACTTTTAAAGCTCACCGGATTCTGAGAGATGGAGGGTCTGGAATGCCTTCTGATGACGTTTCAGCTGGGTGTTGTTCTGGCTGCCCCATGATTTCCCAGCTTTCCCCCTCATCTGCCTCTGAGCTGCTGCCTCCCTCAACCCCCTGTTTTAATTCTGAACTTCTTCTCTGGAAGGGTCAGGCTGGGGAGGCGGTCTCCACTATTCCTCCTCTGCCCAGTCCCTGACAACACCAGCGGTTCCCAGCCCCTCAGCTGCTCCTTGTGAGTACAGCCTGCTTCCCAAGCTTATTGGAGTATAAAACAAGAGGCAGCCATCTTTGCTAACTTACTGACCTTCACGGGTACCAAGGGTGGGACAAACAATGAAATAAATGCATAAATGTCTGTGGAGAGTCCATTTGATTTTCTCTCCATCAACCCACATTTTGGAACTCTGAGCTCTTGTAAGCATGCCATACACGAGGCGCTGCAACTCCTAGGGGACGAAGCAGTTTTGGCGCGCCCCCCCCCCAATATTTTTGGGAGGGGGCCAGGCCCCCTCAATCTTCAGAGGGTGCTTGGCGCCAGTCCCTGGCTTCTTGAACATCATCAGGACATCACGTGACGTGCGCTTGACATTGGGACATTGTGTTGGGCCTGCTCAATTGTCGTGAGAAGATGGCGCCTCTGCCGTACCCAAACAGAAGAGTGTTTTACCATAACTGCACATGTGGACAGCACCAATGTCCTCATCTAGTGCTATTTTTATAGAAAAAGAGGTGTTGGAACTCTCTCTTGTCCTCTTAGGATAGCAATGGAGCCCACCTGAGAGGTGCTGGAACTGAGATCTGGTGAGTTCCGGCTGAAATAAAGCCCTGCCTTCATCCGAGAGGAAATATAATCACTAACCGTAAGTCAGAGGAACTGTGTGTCCCACCAACCCTGTGCTGTGAGCCAAAGACAACTCAGTCCATGCAAATTAACTGTCTATAGACTGACAGTCAAGTGTTCCCTCCTATCAGCTTGTGGGAACTGGTGGGAGAGGAGAGTATAAATTCCATCTCATTTAATGTTCCTCGTTGCTTTTCTGCCTTCCATTCAGCAGCTCTCAGACGGAGCCTGCAAGAGGCAGTGGGTGCCTGCAGATTTCAGGAGCTTGGGTCTTCTGAAGCCAGAGCCCAGCCATGCTTGATGTGAGCGTGGTTGTGTCAGGGATCTTGATCCTTCTCTACCACCTGGGGAAATTTTACAGCCCCTATTTTTGGCAGGACGTGGTCGCCTTCTTTCGCATCGTTAAATTTGGATACAAATGCCACAGGTGTGTCTACCGCAAACCTCCCATCACCTTACTGGACCTCTTCTTGGCCAAAGTCCAGAAGCACCCAGAGAAGCCCCTGGTCCTCTTTGGAGACGAAACCTATTCCTACCGAGATATCGACAGGCGCAGCAGTCAGCTGGCCAGAGTGCTCCGGGACCACGTGGGGCTGGAAGAAGGGGAAACGGTGGCTGTTTTCCTCAAGAACGTCCCTGCCTATCTCTGGGTCTGGATGGGACTGGAGAAGATTGGCAGCGCCATGGCGTGTATCAACTATAACATCCGAGCCAAGTCTCTCTTGCATGCCCTCAGCTCCTGCAAGGCCAAAGTGCTACTGACAACTCCAGGTGATGGTGACTGTTGGCTAGTGGGAAATAGCTGCACCTCAGGGGGGAAATGAAAGCATGTCTGGACTGCACAGTTAGGCCAGTTTGACCACTGCTCTCCTCTGGGCAAGGAATCCTGGCAGCAGCCCCAGACAGCTGCTTTTGAGTGTCATGAAAGGGAGTGAATAGTTAAATTTGTTTAAATCGTATTTCTGCTTCCAGGGAAAGGGGTTTGTGTAGAATATGCTGCCTCAGGCGCCCCGAAAACTTGGCCAGTTTTCGGTGGGGAGCACCATTTGCAGCTCTTCTTCTTGCAGGAACATTTCTTGGGCTGGATCCGGAAGAGATTGCGACTAAGGGCTTGTCCACACTTACCTTTCCTCGGCTCTTTCCAGGCATGGTTGGTGATTTAAAGCTTTGTGTCTGGGTGCCCTTCTTTTTGCTCCAGGGTTTTCTCTGTGAAAACTTGCTCTTCAGTGCTCAATCTGAGCCAACGCCAATCCAGGGGAAATCTGAATTCAGCTTTAAAAAGGAGAAGGTTTTTGCAGGAAAATCTTGTGGGGGACGGGACGGCTCAAACACAGAGCCTGTAAAGAGTGGGGCAAAAAGTATATAAAGTGTATAAGCTCCTTTTATCCTCTCTTTCTTCCCCGCTCTCACTTTTGATGTTGAAGTCCCAGACAAAATGCATGGTCGCATTGCTCAATTTTGCAAACTGTGCAAAAAAAAAAGGCTTGCTAACTTGGGGCTGATCCACACTCCCACCCCCACCAAGTCTTCCCTGCAAAAACCCATTCTTTAAAGCTGAATCAGAGCAAGCATCAATCAGGGTTTTCTGTGGGTTGACGTTTGCTCGCCGAGACCATATAACACCGGTCTTGAAGGACCTACATTGGCTCCCAGTACGTTTCCGAGCACAATTCAAAGTGTTGGTGCTGACCTTTAAAGCCCTAAACGGCCTCGGTCCAGTATACCTGAAGGAGCGTCTCCACCCCCATCATTCTGCCCGGATGCTGAGGTCCAGCGCCGAGGGCCTTCTGGCGGTTCCCTCATTGCGAGAAGCAAAGCTACAGGGAACCAGGCAGAGGGCCTTCTCGGTAGTGGCGCCCGCCCTGTGGAACGCCCTTCCAGCAGATGTCAAAGCGATAAACAACTACCTGACATTCAGAAGACATCTTAAGGGAAGTTTTTAACGTGTGATATTTTACTGTATTTGTGGTTTTTCTGGAAGCCGCCCAGAGTGGCTGGGGAGGCCCAGCCAGATGGGCGGGGTATAAATAATAAATTATTATTATTATTATTATTACTCCCATTGAGCACTAAAGAGCAGGCTTTCACAGGAAAAGCTCTGGAGCAAAATGAATAAATAAATGGGGTGGGGAGGCAGCTGGACACAGAGCTTCAAAGCACAGGCCTTGGCTGGAAAGAGTGGAGGAAAGGTAAGAGTGGATAAACCTTCAGCTGATGTTTGCAGAGCTCCCTGTTTTGTGCCAGTTCACTGACTGCCCAGGTGACTAGGCATCCACAGTGGCTTCTCAGCTCCAGTTAGGTACATGGCTATACCTCAGGGCTGGGGGAGCTCTGGCCTACAGATGTTCTGGACTCCAAATCCCATCTGCCCCAGACAGCATGGCCACTGATCAGAGATTATGGAAGCTGTCATGGATGTCGGGAAGGGGTAAGGGGCAAGGAGAAGCAGTTATCCTGTGGATGAACCATAATCCCAAGAGTCCATGCTTTCATTTTACAATAAAAAGTAAGTTTTGAGCATTTGTAGAACCTGAGATATGAGGCCAGGCACTATACAGGCACTATTCTCATTTCTTTTGTGAGAAACTAGCATGCCCCTGCCTTTCAATACAGTTTTCCGCTGAACAGTTACAGAAGTCATTGACATTTAGGAAAGGAGACCTAGCCAAGAAGACAAAGGGCACCTCTATCAATATTTGGGGGGAGGGATTCAAGAACATACTGGAACTTTTAAGTTTGCACAATTAAAGTGGGTTAAAGGGCGCTGTTCGCAAAGCGCAACAAATCAAGTTTTAAAAAGATTCACGCTTTTTGCAGCTTGGAAAGCGATGGAGAAAAACATTGGAAAGTGTGGAATGAATTAGGGAATGGTTAAGGGGGAAATGTTAAAACACCTCACAAGAAAATCAGGATAAATGCAGAAGAACGCCATTGAAAACACAACTGGGAAAGCCTGCAAACACCCCATTCCGCCTCTTTTGTGATATTTTTGTGACATTTTTGGGTCACGTCCGGATTTGACGCAATGTGTGTATATACGGTTCCATGCATATTGAACATGCGTAAATGGGGAGTTGCCTGTATTTGAAGATATCCATGCCTAAGGTTAGGAAGTAAGCGTCAATAAAAAACCTCACCTCTTTTCATGCTCTCTTGAAGATTTCAAGGCCGCCATTGAGGATGTCCTTCCCACTCTAAAGAATGAAGGAGTCCAAGTTTTCTTCCTAAGCGAAGACTCCCCAACCGAGGGTGTGGAAGCTTTGCTTGGGCAGATCCAATCCAGCTCAGCCGAGCCTCTGCCCATTTCCTTCAGAGCCAACATAACTGCTGAATCTACATCCCTGTATATTTTCACCTCTGGGACTACAGGTGAGGAGGGAAAAGGTCACAGTGATGGGTGAGGGGGGCAATTATGTCTGGAAATCCCATCTTCCTTCTACCTGCCCTACTTGTGTATGGGCTCATTAAGGGAGGGGTAGTGCCTTTGATAAGAGACGCGAGTGGCGCTGTGGGTTAAACCACACAGCCTAGGACTTGCTGATCAGAAGGTCGGCAGTTCGAATCCCCGCGATGGGGTGAGTTCCTGTTGCTCGGTCTCAGCTCCTGCCAACCTAGCAGTTTGAAAGCACGTCAAAGTGCAAGTAGATAAATAGGTACTGCTCTGGCGGGAAGGTAAACAGCATTTCCATGCGCTGCTCTGGTTCGCCAGAAGCGGCTTAGTCATGTTGGCCACATGACCCGGAAGCTGTACGCCGGCTCCCTCGGCCAATAAAGCGAAATGAGCGTCGCAACCCCAGAGTCGGCCACGACTGGACCTAATGGTCAGGGGTCCCTTTACCTTTACCTTAGTGCCTTTGATGGGGAATCTGTTTGCTCCTTCTGGGGTAGTTTGTCCCACCTTTGGTCCCCATCTTGCACTCAGCTCTCACCTGTGCCTCCTAGAATCTGTCAGTATGGGAAGGAATGTATTGGGATCCCAGCATGTTATGCTTTCCCACTGGACGGAGTCATTTGTGGTTGTTAAATGAGCCCTTCTCTTTTTCCTCAAGGGCTACCGAAAGCTGCTATCCTTTCCCAGAGAAAGATGCTGATAGCATCCAACCTATCAGGCCACCTTGGGGCCCGCCCCAAGGACATCGTCTACATCCCGCTCCCGCTGTACCACTCAGTTGCACTCTTAGTTGGGGTTGGAGGATGCCTGGAAGCTGGTATGTATGGAATGTCCACTCACATGCCTCCTCTTCAAGAGGGTGATAGGCAGAGATGGGTTGATAAGTGCATAGACATACACACATCCATGAGGGCAGATGTACTCTCAAGGTAGACTGAGAGACTGGCCCAAGATCGCCCAGTGATCTTCAGGGCGAGTGGGGACCAGAGCCCTGGTCTCCCGGGTCCTAGTCTGATGCTCTAACCACTACACAACACAACCTCTCTCCACATAGGATCCTTCCTCACCACATATTTGCACTTTATACATTGAAAACACCTGCCGCCATTTAATTCTGAACATTCTTTCATCCACCCATGGGAAGAAGCGGACCAGGAAACCTACATGTGAAAGTCAAACATATTCAGGCTGTGTACATAACATGATTTTAAAGCGCACTGCTCCCCTGCGCCAAAGAACCATGAGAACTGTAGTTTACCCCTGACAGAGCTACAGTTCCCAACCTCCTTAACGAAATCCTCGAGCCCTGTTTCAGCTGCTGTCTGGCTCAAGAAGCAAGGAGGCTTTTGTATCTGTGAGGGTTCACTGCACATTTAGAGCAAATCCCTTAGTTGCTGCATTTTGCTCCAGCTGAAGTTTCCAGACACTTTCCAGAGGCAGCCCAACATATGTCTTACATTGCAATAATATAATGCATGGCACTTAGAACTTCATCTGCCTATACCAGTGCTCACAACAAGGCCACACCTAAGCCACTCTCTCTCTTTATTCCCACAAGGGTCTACATGTGTCTTGAGACCTAAGTTTTCCGTTTCTGAGTTCTGGAATGACTGCAGACGATATCGCGTCTCCCTGATCCTGTATGTGGGAGAAATGATGCGCTACCTGTGTAATGTGAAAAAGGTAATCATTGGCGAGAGAGGCCAGTTTTGTTGTTGCGGCAAAAATGTTGCCAAGAATTCAGATGGATTGTCCATTTGGTTCACAGCTGAATCCAAAAATATAGGTGGGGGCTGCACCTAGAGGTCAAAGTCAAGAGCCCCACACAGCCCAGGGGGCTCGCAAATGACCACCTGGAGAACAGCCATCTTCTTTTCTCATTGTTTTTTTAAAATCCATTTTATTGCCGAGGAACAGCTGGTGAAGCAGGTACACAGTTGCAGGCACTCATTTATTATTATTATTATTATTATTATTATTATTATTATTATTATTATTATTAAACTTAAAAATATCTTCATCCTTTTCTAGGCAGCAGTGCCCCTAGTGAATGCCATCCCATCTCCAAAAAACAAACAAACAAACAAACAAACAAACAAACAAACAAACAAACAAACACCTCAAATGCTCCAGAAGCTGCATCAATTTCCAGGGTAGTTTATGGCCCTGTCAGTTTCTTTTGCTTGGTTTTTAAAAGAAGGCCCATGGGCCCTGGCAGCTACCTGAGAACCAGAATTGGAAACCATGGTTTGGAAACCTTTGGTGACATTGGTTGCCTTCTATCTGTGGCACAGCATGTAAATTGTGAGATTTGTTCCTGCAAGAGCCAGTGAAGGCCGCCAACTTGGGTAGGCAAATTCTGCTGTTGCGTTCTCTTGCTGCTTGTTGGCTTCCCACAGGTATCTAACAGATCAAGATAATAATCATAATAATCATAATAATAATTTATTATTTATTCCCCGCCCATCTGGCTGGGCCTCCCCAGCCACTCTGGGTGGCTTCCAACAAAATATTAAAATACAGTAATGCATCAAACATTAAAAGCTTCCCTAAACAGGGCTGCCTTCAGATGTCTTCTAAAAGTCTGGTAGTTGTCGTTCTCTTTGACATCTGGTGGGAGGGCGTTCCACAGGGCAGGTGCCACTACCGAGAAGGCCCTCTGCCTGGTTCCCTGTAACTTGGCTTCTCACAGTGAGGGAACCGCCAGAAGGCCCTCAGCGCTGGACCTCAGTGTCCAGATAGAACGATGGGGGTGGAGACGCTCCTTCAGATATACTGGACTGAGGCCGTTTAGGTGTTGTACCAGGTGGGCCACTGCCCTGATTCAAGGCTATTCTTATGGCATACTGTTTAAATAACAGCCCCTTAGCTGCAGTCTGAACCAGGTGAATTTTCCAAAGAGCCTTCCTAGGAAGCCATTCACAGAGCACATTTCATTAACCTGACATGTTTGTTGTCAGGAGGACAGGAAGCCGGCACTGGTCAGTGTGGCGTCATTGTTAGAGTGTTGGACTATGACCTTGGAGACGGAGGTTCGAATCCTCACTCAGCCATGAAGCTAACTGGATGACCTTGAGCCAGTCACGATCTCTTAGCCTCACCTACCTCATGGGATTGTTGTGAAGATTAAATGGGGAGGAAGAGAACCAAGTACATCACCTTGAGATCCTTGGAAGATAAAGGCGGCATAGAATATTTTATTAAGGATTTTCTGGTTTTACAGAAGTGTTAAAGGTGGCATAGAAATGTATAATGATAATAAATATTAGCAAAGTTTATTTAGTTCAGCAGCGACCCCTCTGACATGCTGCTTTGCAGACAGACAGCGACCGAGACCACTGTGTGCGAATGGCAATAGGCAACGGCATGCGTGCGGACGTCTGGAAGGAGTTCCTGCACCGATTTGGACCCGTCCAAATCTATGAGATCTATGGAGCGACAGAGGGGAACGTCGGGTTTTTTAACACCACAGGAAAAGTCGGAGCTGTGGGAAGGTCCCACTTCCTCTACAAGGTAATGAGAACTAAACTAGAATATCTCAGCAAACCCATAGCTACCTGAAACCCTGTTTAGATATACATTCTTATCTAGATATACATTCTTATCTAGATCTTATCTAACCCCTGGATGGTTAAGTCCAATCAAAGGTGACTATGAGGTGCAGCACTCACCTCGCTTTCCAGACTGAGGGAGACGCTGTTTCGGCTGCAGACAGCTTTCCGGGTCATGTGGTCAGCACGACTAAACCACTACTGGCACACAGAGCACTCTATTCACAGGGCATGTCAGGACTGACCACCTCTCCTCTCAGACAGCTAGAAAGCAGTAGAGAGAATGCAACACGAAGGTGAAGCAAGATAAAAGCCAACAGAAGGGGAAAGTACAGGGAAAGGTACCAAGAATTTTGTCAACAACCCCCAAGCAAAAATGTAAGACTTGGAAAGATAGTTTGTTGGCATAGTGCAGCCTCCGCAGTGCGAGTTGCCCACTGCCCAGCTGTTCCTGCTGAGGTTCAAGCCTGATCTCGTCCATTATGCCACTCAACGAATCAGTGGCAAAGAGGGGCATGGCTGCCAAGCCACACTGCCAACAGACAAAGAAGCAGCTCCCTTCTTCCAGTGGCACCTTGCTGCATTTCCTTACTGTGTGCCGAGAAAGGGAAACCCTTTTCTCAGAATTCCGCAAGGAAGCATGTCTGGTGAGGCATTTGGGCATGTGTATATCTGGATTTGCGCCCGTCCACTTTGGGCTTTGCCCCCCAACAACAGCACATCATTAAACTCGAATGAGGCAATGCAGGCAAAAAAGAGGTTCTCTGCCCCTGAGCTTCAGCTGCTACCAGGAGTACACTAACCAGTGAGGTAGAGCAGCAATGTGCTGGATTTAGACCAGGGTTGAGGCACCCTTGGCTCTCCAGATGTTGATGAAGTATAACTCCCATCAGCCCTGGCAAGCATGGTCAATGGCCAGGGGTGGTGGCTGCAGTTCATTCAGCGACACCTGGAGGACCAAAGGTTCTCAATACCTGGTTTAGATCAAGGAGGCCAGACTCAAATCTCTGCTCAGCTGCAAAGATGAGCTTGGCTCAGCTGCTTTCTCAGTCACCCTACCAGAGGCCTTTAGGCCTTCAGGTATTGTTGTGCTTCCTAGATGAGTTCTATGGTTTGTCTTCTATGGTTTTATGTACAATTGTTGTAAACTGATTTAAATTTTTTTAAAAAAATGAATTAGCAGTATATTATTATTATTATTATTATTATTATTATTATTATTGATAAGCTCCCTGTTCCCTTGGGTCATTCATAAAATATATTCCAGTCCATGTTCAGACTTGAATTTCAGCCTTGTGGGATCATGTTTCCATTTCCTGCTTGTTCCACCTCAGAAACTGGCAAAGTACGAAATCATCAAGTATGACGTTGACAAGGATGAGCCTGTGAGAGGCAAGAACGGACATTGCATCCCAGTGACTCCAGGTAAGCCAATAAAGTTGGCATTCAGAGAGGAACTGGGCTTTGTATTGTCAGAGTCCTAACTCACAAGAAGGTACTGGACATGGCCTCTAGACTGTGGAAATTGCTCACATCTCTCCCAGCAAGAAAAATGGCAGAGTCCCTTCTTCACACATAGAACAGAAGAAGAATCATCGAAAGAGGAAGTGTGAGCCACTCCTGCTTTGTGTTAAATGTGAAGAGTCTTCATCCATCCCTTCAGGGGCACCAGAAGGGGTGGATGCATCTGTCAGTTTCAACTTCAGTTTCTCATTTTTCCAGTCTTAGGTTGCTTCCTGTTTAATGAGCGTTCATCCAGTTTTGTTTGCAGGGAGATTAGATGCCATTGGTTATTTAATTCATCCTTATTTATTTGCAGGGATGTTAGATGACATTGCATCAAAGCCAGCTTAAATCTTCACTTTCTAGTCCATTTCCCCCATTCCTTTCCTTTGTGCAAAAAGTTCAATATTTGTGGAAAGCAGGTTTGTTGCACAAGACCTCCTATAATTCCACAGACTGAATTTGTTGGTATGTGATTGAATCCTACCTGAAAATAGGATTCTATATCAGTTAAATTTTATTTTATTTTTAAATTTTTATTTTATTTTTAAATTTTATTTTAATTTTTAAATTTTTTATTTTTATTTTATTTTTTTTAAAGCCGCACAAAAATTTGTTTCTTCTATTGTACACATGATTGTGTAGGATTTCCCCTAATATTCACATTTTGGAAAGGAATTTTTTGTAACATAATGAGTTTCTGGCCTGTCTTGAATCTACTGCTCAGGGATTTCACAGGGTGGCCCAACTGAGGCCAGCATCCTGCCGAATCAGCATATTCTGCAGCAATCAGGTGTGGCGATGTGCTTCACCCGATTTAGGGACGAATGCCTGAGGAAACAGTGTCTTAAAGCAGAGTCACTCGCATGTGCTCCCTTGCTGTGCATTCTGACAGCTGCTAGAGATGCCAGCAGTGGCAGATGTCAGTGGCAGCAAGGAGAACGGTAGGAAGGCTGGTCCCCAGTAGCATTGGCTGCCTCCCACCGGAAGCACCCAGAGGCAGTCGTCTTGCCCGTGGTTCTTTGTTGGAGGATGAATATTATGGTAGTTGATTCAGCTTCATTTCCTTTTCTTTTCCCAGGTGAGACAGGCTTGTTTGTGTCCAAAATCACTGGGCTTGCCCCGTTCTATGGCTACGCTGGAGACCGACAGAAGTCGGAGAAGAAGATTCTCCGGGATGTTTTCACCAAAGGAGACTGCTACTTCAATAGCGGCGACCTTCTGATGGAAGACCAAGAAGGCTTTCTATATTTCAAGGACCGGGTAGGAGATACTTTCCGGTGAGTCCCGCCACACAGGTTCTGCAGCTTATATTCTGACAAATGTAGAACAGGCAGTCAGCACCAGTGTTTCATTAGCATAGGTAGCATTCACAAATGCTGGCTTGTGTAGGGCAGTGGCTCAGAGTGTCATGAAGCATCTAGTTCAAATCTCACCACCTTCGTCCCCAGGTGTAATTTGGGTATAATAAGGTTCACTTATCTTGTTATTGCAAGGTGGGAATGGGAAACCTATAATCCTGCAGGGATTGCTGTACTACAGTTCACATCTTCCCTGACCACTGGCCACGCTGGTTGAGGTTGATGGGAGCTGAGGTCCAGCCAGATCTGGAAAGCCACAGGCTCCCTATTGTCGCCGTAAGGATCGCAACAAGATCTTGTAAGTGAAGAGCTCTGAATGATTAAAACCAGTATCCAAATACTAATAAGTAATTTTATCTCGTTACAGATAGGTAGCCGTGTTGGTCTGCCATAGTCAAAACAAAAAAATTCCTTCCAGTAGCACCTTAAAGACCAACTAAGTTAGTTCTTGGTATGAGCTTTCGTGTGCATGCACACTTCTTCAGATACCTGAAGTATCTGAAGAAGTGTGCATGCACACGAAAGCTCATACCAAGAACTAACTTAGTTGGTCTTTAAGGTGCTACTGGAAGGAATTTTTTTGTTTTAATTTTATCTCATTATTGATAACAAAATATCTAGTCCATCCTTCGTCAATGGCTAGTCACTGCTTCAATGAATATGACTGGATCTACGTACTTTTGCTCTTTTGCTTATTGGGTTTTTTAGATGCTTGTTCATTGTATTATAGGTTTGGTTGTTTTGATACTGTTGTTAGTTGCCCGGGCTATTCTAAATAAATAGCAGGAAAGGAAGATGCACTTAAATAAGGAAGATCCCAGGGTGCGTTACAAGGCAATAATACAGTAAGGGCCCCTCTAGACCGGTGTTTCTTCGTGGATATATTCTGCACAATGACATTGGTACAATAATAGCGCATTAGTGGTGGGGATTTATACTGGACCATCCGCACATCATTTTGCTTTATGAGTTGTTCTGTGATGCTTCCCCGACGTTAATGCATCACCTGGAAGGGATCCAGCAAAAACTGCACTCTGCCAAGCATTTGTGGCATTAAAGGTTACTGGATTAGAAGCAGGAAGTTATGGGAGCTTTAACAGTTGGGAACAAAGCCCTGTGTCCTCCCTGAAACTTTTGAAGGCACAAACAGTATTGAAAGAGGGAGCATGTATAACTGCCCTGATACCGTCATGAGCACAAAGTATGTATACAATTAAAAGGGTGTTTGGAGGGCCCCCAAAACAACCGCTATATCAAACCAATACAGCACAATATAAGCAGGCAAGGACGCAGCGTTCGAAAACACCAAGGAACCACAAACTGGCCTCCTCGCTTGCGCCAATGACAAAATTCCCGATTATGAACGAAAGGAGAGATGTTCACTTTTACCAAACCCATCTGGGAATAATCTGTTTTGTCCATGCAGCTGGAAAGGGGAAAACGTGGCCACCACGGAAGTGGAGAACATCCTGGCACCACTGAGATTCATCCAGGAAGTCAATGTCTATGGGGTACCAGTGCCAGGTGGGTCTGAAATTCCATTGGATCAAAACCCGTCTTTCTGCTGCCACATTTAGCGTCCAAATATATGGCAAGATTATTCGCTCACCAGCAACAAGGTTCAGTTGCTCACGAACGGCTGCAGCTCTTGGGTCATTTGGATTCTGTGAACCGATTTGTGAAAGGCTGGTAGCAGATACCCCCAGACTGCAACTGAATCACTCTTGCAATATAGTGGTCACGCCCACAACATACATTTAAAGAAGCCTATGTTTAAAGAGTCCGTGTGGTGTAGTGGCTAGAATGCTGGACTAGGAGCTGGGAGACCAGGGTTCAAATCCCCACTCAGTCATGAAGCTCACTGAAGTGACCTTGGGCCAGTCTCTCACTCTCAGCCTCACTTACCTCAAAGGGTTGTTGTGAGGATAAAATGGGGAGGAGGTGAAGCTTGTTCACTGCCTTCAGCTTCTTAGAGGAAAGGTGGGATAGAAATGAAACAAACAAAACATTTAACACACACTTAAAGCACATGGCTTCCTCAAGGAATCCTGGGAAATGCAATCTGTTAGGGGTTCCAGGAATTGTAGTTCCCGGGATTCTTGGGAGGGGGAGGAATCATAGAATCAACAAATTGTAGAGTTGGAAGGGAACACGAGAGTCATCTAGTCCGACCCCCTCCAATGCAGGAAGCTTTTACCCAACGTGGGGCTCGAACCCATGACCCTGAGATGAAGAGTCTCATGCTCTACCGAAGTGTGTTTTCAGTGTACCATGTGGAAATGTGACAATCTGGAGGCAGTCCTGCAGCTCTGTGCTGGTTGTGAAGGAAAGGTCCTTGTTTTCCTCCATGGCTAGCTCAAAAACCAAAGTGGTCAATGTAGAAAATCCAAAAAAATTTTGGAAAAAGGAAAAGATCAGAAGAACAAGAAGCTGGATCATTCATATGGCAGGGTAAGTCTGTGTGAACTGGAGTGTTTTTAGCTAGCCAGTCCACAGCTGTTCTAGGTGCATTCATTTACATGTGACATGGCTTTCCACACACACCGCCAACCGGTCCCTTCTGGTTTGTTCCAGGCCATGAAGGAAAGACTGGGATGGCTGCAATCTGCCTTAAGAAGGGGCACTCCTTTGACGGGCAGAAGCTGTATGCGCACGCCAAGGATCTCCTGCCAGCCTATGCCATACCTCGCTTCGTTCGCATCCAGGTACGATCCCTTCTTGTCACTTTCCTCCCTGTGATTGCTGCCTTGAGAAACCCCATAGGTCAGCCTCCTACCCTGGGAATTCTTCCCTTCCCTGCCTCTCACACTTCATCAGCCATCCATCACCTTCTTGCTCAGCTGTTTCTCAATCAATGAAGCACCAGGGGGCAAGACCATGCAGAGAGGAGGCTGGCTGGGTACAATATGTCTTTGTGAGCCTGTGCATGAATGGGCATGTGTGTTTGAGAGAGTGTGGGGCACGGATTCCTCTATAGTGTCCTTTCCTGACTTTTTGGCTGTTTCCTAATCAGAGGAGCAGCAAGGGGAGGGGAAAGGGTGTGTGTGTGTGGTGTGTGTGTGTGTGTGTGTGCGTGCGTGTTGCATGCATGTGTGAGTGTGAAAGGGTGTAGAATGACCTCACCCATGGCCAGCTCTGCACACACACACACACACACACACACACAGCCAAGAGAATGACACCCTCAAGCTGAAAAAGCGTTCCCTGCCTATAGACAAGCAGGCCAAGTCAGAAGTCATAGTCTCATCCGGACTTTCTTTTGTGCCACACTTTCCAAGTACAGGTCTGTGCTTTAAAACTCTGCGTCCAATAAGTTTTTTGTTTATTTGTTTATTTTCTCTGGAGGCTCCACCCCCCCCCCCGGGAAAACCTGTATTTTACCGCTGAATCAGAGCAAACATTCATCCATGGAAACAGGGGTGCTAATTTGAATAAAATATAGGGGGGCAGGTATTGTATGAGAGGGAAGGACGTTGGCCCCTAGGAGTTGGCTCCTATGCATGGAAGCCCCGATTGTCATTTCCTCCAAGCTTTGCCAGGGAAAGTGCCAGGATAAAAACAACAACAACACTCAAAGACAAGCAGCACAAAAGGAAGTCTGGATGAGCCCTAAGTCATAGATCCATGTTGTTTGGCCTTCAGCAACCGGGTGTAAATGAACAGAGTGAAATCCACTCTCTTTATCTCTAATGAGATGCTTAGGATGCCAGCTCCCCTAGCAGAGCTCAGAGCCTGTTCTGGTACATCTGTCTGCCACTGCTCAAAACACTGACTCCCTTGGCCTGCTCTAGGAATGTCTTGGAGCAGAGTGCTGTTGGTTGTTCTCTACTCACTGCACTGCTCTTTCCCATGCAGGACACCCTGGAGATCACGGGCACTTTCAAGCAGATCAAAAGCCAGTTGGTAAAGGAAGGATTTGACCCTGCTGTCATCAGTGACCCCCTCTTCTTCCTCGATGACTCTGAAGAATGTTACATGCCCTTGACTCCACAGATCTTCAGCACCATTGCAGAGAGGAAGCTGAAGCTGTGAAAAGGAGCAATTGTCTCTTTAACTGCCCTAGTGGCAACCTAGGAACAACTACCGTATTTTTCGCACCATAGGGCGCACCGGACCATAGGGCGCACCCAGTTTTTAGGGGGGGAAATCAAGAAAAAAATCTTTTCCCCCCCCCAGCCCCAAAGAGCAGCGTACAGGGTGCGCACAACTTCTCCCTGCCGGAGGGGTTGCGCGCAGCTATGCAGCAAGCCAAGTTTTGGCTTCCCCTTTAGCCCCATGCAGCCTCTCCTTGCCGGGAGACGCTGCGCAGGGCTAAAGAAGCCATAGCCCCGTGCAGCCTCTCCTTGCGGGGGGTTGCGCGCAGCTATGGAAGAAGGCAAGGCAGCGAGCGGGATGGATCCCACTCGCTGTTTTGCCTTCCCCTTTAGCCGCGCGCAGCCTCTCCTTGCGGAGGGGTTGCGCGCAGCTATAGAAGAAGGCAAGGCAGCGAGCGGGATGGATCCCGCTCGCTGTTTTGCCTTCCCCTTTAGCCGCGCGCAACGTCTCCTTGCGGAGGGGTTGCGCGCAGCTATGGAAGAAGGCAAGGCAGCGAGCGGGATGGATCCCGCTCGCTGTTTTGCCTTCCCCTTTAGCCGCGCGCAGCGTCTCCTTGCGGGGGGGTTGCGCGCAGCTATGGAAGAAGGCAAGGCAGCGAGCGGGATGGATCCCGCTCGCTGTTTTGCCTTCCCCTTTAGCCGCGCGCAGCGTCTCCTTGCGGAGGGGTTGCGCGCAGCTATGGAAGAAGGCAAGGCAGCGAGCGGGATGGATCCCGCTCGTTGTTTTGCCTTCCCCTTTAGCCGCGCGCAGCGTCTCCTTGCGGAGGGGTTGCGCGCAGCTATGGAAGAAGGCAAGGCAGCAAGCGGGATGGATCCCGCTCGCTGTTTTGCCTTCCCCTTTAGCCGCGCGCAACGTCTCCTTGCGGGGGGTTGCGCGCAGCTATGGAAGAAGGCAAGGCAGCGAGCGGGATGGATCCCGCTTGCTGTTTTGCCTTCCCCTTTAGCCGCGCGCAGCGTCTCCTTGCGGAGGGGTTGCGCGCAGCTATGGAAGAAGGCAAGGCAGCGAGCGGGATGGATCCCGCTCGCTGTTTTGCCTTCCCCTTTAGCCGCGCGCAGCCTCCCCTTGCCGGGAGACGCTGCGCAGGGCTTTCCTGGCTTTTCTGGGAGGTGGGGGAATTCCCCCACCTCCCGCAAAACCGGCAGAAGCCGCGCGCACTTTAAAAGGGCTGCACGGCTTCTTCTGGCTTACCTGGGAGGTGGGGGGATTCCCTCACCTCTCGCAAAAGCCCGCAGAAGCCGCGCAACTCCTTTAAAGAGATCGCAGATTCTCCTGGCTTTCCTGGGAGGTGGGAGAAGGGACTGATGCGGCCAGTCAGACCCTTCTCCCTCCTGTGGAAAAGCCCGCAAGAGCGCACGGAGCTTGTGTGCGGCTCTTGGGGGGCTTTTCCCGCCTGCCTCCCCCCCCCTGCATTCGCTCCATAGGACGCACACACATTTTCCCTTGCTTTTTAGGAGGGAAAAAGTGCGTCCTATGGTGCGAAAAATACGGTATAGTGTTGAGCTACAGTGGTGCCTCGCAAGACGAAATTACTTCGTTCCGCAGTTTTTTCGTCTTGCGATTTTTTTTCGTCTTTTTTCGTTCGGAAAAGTTTTGGAAAAGCTTCAAAAATCACCAAAGTCTTTAAAAACCTCAAAAAAGGCTACCACACCGCGTGCTATGAGTTGCTCCTTGAAGTCAAGTCGCAACTGTATTAACGGTGTTAAGAAAAAGGAAACAAACTTGCAAGACGTTTCCGTCTTGCAAAGCAAGCCCATAGGGAAAATCGTCTTGCGAAGCAGCTCAAAAAACCAAAAACCCTTTCGTCTTGCGAGTTTTCCGTCTTGCAAGGCATTCGTCTTGTGAGGTACCACTGTACTTGGCTTCTGCCTAGGAAAGAGGGGATAATCTATTGCCACGGCAGAGCTTTCCAAACTTTTCATGTTGGTGACACACTCTTTAGACATGCATCATTTCATGACACAGTAATTTAGTTCTACTAGCAAACCAGAGGTTAGCGAGGGAAGCATTCACGTGACATACCTACACACTGCAGCTGACACACAAATGTGTCACAACACATGGTTTGGAAAGCTCTGTGCCATGGTTCTCAAAGTGGGCAGTTAACCACCCTGGGTTGTGGTGAAGGGATTACACAGTGGGTGCTAAGAGACAAGTGGGGGTGGCACTGAAGGTGTAAATGACTATTGGATTTTGAACAAATGTGGGGGGGGGGAAATTCCCCAAAATTTTATTAGTTTTCCACATTTATGACAAATATAACATATAAAACACACAAAACAAAACACATTAGAATACTAAAAAAAGGAAAAAAGGAAAAAACACATATTCTTTCTTATTTTCATTTCAATTTCCATTGTTAAATGACTTCCTCAAATCCCCCCAACTGAATTTCATTATATCACCTTGTAACAGTTCTCCCAAACATCTTTCTAGATAATTAGTTCCTTCAATTGACTATATTCAACTCTTTTCTTATTATCTTAATCCATATTACTATACGGATTCTTATTGTTATCCTAGGCCTGTTTAGTACTTTCAAGAACCTTCTCAATTATCTTATATTACAATATTATAGTCTTTAACTTTCATCCAGTCTTCTTGGTATTCCTCCTCTTTCTGTTCACAAATTCTTCCACTCAGGTCAGCCAGCTCCAGAAATTCCAACATCTTCATCTGCCGTTCTTCTACCGTTGGTTTTTCTTGAGATTTCCAAATTTTTGCTAATAGTAGTCTTGCCGCTGTAGTGGCATACAAAAATAACCTAACATCTTTTTTGGGCAATTCCAATCCTATTATTCCAAGTAAAAAGGCTTCTGGTTTCTTTACAAATGTATATTTCAACATTTTTAAAACTCATTCCCAGAAGTGCTTAGGACACGTCCACCACATATGGTGACAGGTGCCTTCCTTTTCTTTACACTTCCAGCATGAGTTATCATACGTATGATAAATCTTTGCTAGTTTTACCGGGGTTGAGTACCACCTATACATCATTTTCATAATATTTTCTTTTAGTACCGTACATGCCGTGAACTTAACCCCTTTCTTCCACAACCTTTCCCAATCTTCCAACATTATATTGTATCCCATGTCTCTTGCCCAATCTATCATAACAGATTTGACTTCTTCATCCTTTGTATGCCACTCCAACAGCAAATTATACATTTTAGATAGATTTTTAACATCCGTATCTAACAACTCTGTTTCCAATTTGGTTTTTTCCGTTGCAAAACCATTTTTCTTATCAAGCTTATACAACTCATTGATCTGGTAATATTGTAACCAACCATCCAGTTTATCTTTAATTTGATCAAATATTCTCAATTTAAATCCTTCATTATCTTCCAAAAATAAATCAGCATATTTCAACCATTTAGTCTCCGTATTTAGTTTTTTCTGGGCCTTAGCTTCCATTGGTGAAAGCCACCTGGGTGTTTTCCTTCCTAAGAGATCTTTATATCTTATCCAAACATTATATAGAGATTTTCTAATTACATGATTTTTAAAACCTTTGTGGGCCTTTATCTTGCCGTACCATAGACATGCATGCAAACCAAATACATTGTCAAATCCCTCCAGATCCAGCATATTAACATTGTCTAATTGAATCCATTCCTTTATCCAGCAGAAAGCTTCAGCTTCAAAATATATCTTCAGGTCTGGCAGGGAGAATCCCCCTCTTTCTTTAGTATCTGTTAGTAACATATTTAATTCTGGGTTTTCCCCCCTGCCAGATAAATTGAGACAATGCTTTCTGCCATTCTTTAAAACACTTAACATTATCAATAATTGGTATGGCTTGAAATAAGAACAACATCTTTGGCAATACATTCATCTTTACCACTGAAATTAATTGTTACCGTTTTGAATTTTATTGTGTTATTATCTTTCTTAGTGGGTGGTGCAGACTGCTATTCTGAATAATGCTTTTTATAGATTAGAAGGCACTGGGGATGATTTTATGGAACCAAGGGGGCTGTGGACCAAAATGGTTTGGGAGCCACTGATCTAGTGTTTATTTCTTATCTGCAAACTCTAGGGTGTGAGCATGCATATATATGCATATGCTCTTGAGTGCATAGGATTTAAAAACAAAACAGCACCTTTTCCTTTAACGTCCTCAATCGGGCAATACCTTTATTAGGACCAAGCAACATGCCACTAAAGAGTTGCAGGCTTTGGAGTGATGCAGAACTCTTCATCAAGCAAGATATCATACAAAGCAAGTCATGGAGTGAGGAGTGAGGAGAAACAAAGAAGTAAAATATAGGCTTGATGTTGCAGTCACTAGGTCAGTTTCTAGATTTAGGGTGTGCACAAATTACCACTTTAGAGTGCAGTGAAGTCCCATTTCACAACTCCCTCCCCTCCAGGTGTTCACATCAGCACAAATTCTTTAGTGTCAGATTTGTTTCTGCTTTGTATACAAACTATGTGTAGTGTACTAACAGCACACTGTCTTCTGACTAATAGCGTATTAATGCTTCCCTTATGTGCAACCCCCCACAACCAGACTGCAGTTTAAGTTACTAATGCATACACTGTCATAGAATGCCATTTTTCTTTGTAGGAATGGTGCTACATTTAAATTGGTACAATGGAGTATTAAGAGCATCACAATTGTGGGTCATGCATGCTGAGGTGCAACATTACATGTTGATGATCGCAAATGTACGCATATGTAAATCTAGATATTACATACAAATTAAATGCAAAATTCCAAAGGGAGATAAGAAAGTTTGAATTCTGTTTCTTCTTATTTGAATCGATCTCCCTTTTCTTTACAAGTGAAACTGTGGAAATATATTTTGTTAGACGTTCATCTTTTTTCTTTTCTTTTCAAAAATCATAATCAATCACTGGGTGAGCAGGACTTTTGATCGTGGAATGACTTCCTGATGTCCCAAGAAGTTCAGAAACCACCTCATATGTTGCTGGCACATGGGAACCCAACAGTCTTTCTGATCACATCTCTAATTTCTTTGTTTCTCAGAGAATAGATGATGGGGTTGAAGAGAGGGATAAAAAAGGCGTAGATGACTGCAACGATCTTGTCATAACGTCCTGATCCCATCCATGTCAAGTGCATGTACATGAAGCCAGTAGTTCCAAAGAAAGTAAGGACCACAATGAGGTGGGAGGCACAGGTGGAAAAAGCCTTCTGGCGCCCCTCCGAGCTATTGATCTTAACAATGACTTTCAGTATCTTCATGTATGAGAGGAGGATGAGAAAGATGAGGGCCAGGATGGCGATGGTGTGGAGGGCAAAATCCAACATGATGCTGGTCGATATGTCTGTGCAAGCAAGACTGATCACCTGGGGGAAGTCACAGAATATATGATCTATATGACTAGGCCCACAGAAGGGCAACTTGGAAGTCAGAACAATCTCCGGCAAAGGACATGCAAAACCACACGCACAGCATCCCAGCACAAGCTGAATGCAAAGTTGGGGTGTCATCTTGGTCATATAGTTTAACGGGGCACAGATGGCTAAGTACCGGTCGTAAGCCATCACTGCGAGCAAGCAGGCCTCTGAGATACCCACACTGTGGAAGAAATAGATTTGCAGAAGGCAGCTCCTGAAGGAAATGGACTTCTTGCTCCTCAGAAGGTCCACCAACACCCTGGGCATGGTAATGGTAGTATAGAACACCTCCAAGGTGGCCAACACAGCAATGAAGAAATACATGGGGATGTGAAGACGAGGAGTGGCAGAGATGAGGCTGAAGATGAGAGCATTGGCACTGAGGATGAGCAGGTAGATCACTAAGAAGATGGCAAAGAGAAGTATGCCGTAGTCGCCCAAGTTGAGGAACCCATCAAGCTCAAACTCAGACACTGAAGTGCCATTGATAGCTTCGTCCTGCATCATAGGTAGGCTAATCTAGAATAGGAAATAAAATCTATGAAGATGGGAGGCTGGCAAATGGAAGGTCATGGAGTTCATGTATGCATCAGACTTTCACTGCATTTCCCTGTACAGTCATACCTCAGGTTAAATGTGCTTCAGGTTGAGCGTTTTCAGGTTATGCTCCATGGCAACCCAGCAGTAACGGAATGTGTTACTTCCAGTTTTTGTCACTCGCGCATGCGCAGACGCTCAAAATGATGTCATGCGCATGCGCGAAAGCGGCTAATCACAAACCGTGCACGCGCACACACGGGTTGCGTTTGCTTCAGGATGTGAACAGGGCTCCAGAACAGACCCCGTTCGCATCCAGGGGTACCACTGTAACTTAAAAGATACCACTCCCCGAAGCTTGCAAGGATCATTATGACCACACAAATAGTATAGTACAGGTCAATCTTTTTAACAAAAGCTCCAGAAATTTTGGGGGATCTGTGTGTCAATTACATAAAACCACATACTTCCATTCTCAGATATGATTGGAAAAAACAGTGGTTTGGGGGTGGGAGGGGGAAAGGAACATTTCTTTTACTTGGCGCAGATTAGAATATAAATATTTTGAATTTAAACCTACGTAGTTTAAGCCACTTCTATATCAACCCAACTTGACCATGCAACACTGATAAGAGGCATTTTCAAAGGGAAAAAACCCCACCCCTTCACTGACACCAAAGATAAAAGAGAACCCAGGTCTGGATGAAATTTCATGTGCTAATTTACAGGTATTGATGCAAATCCAGATATAATTACTATGCTTTAATATAAATACCATATATCTCACCAGGCAGCGTATGCACATTGCACCTTTATAGCACATTCAAAGCACATTTCCTCCCTCAAAGGATCCTTTGCTCAGGGTGCAGTGTACAGTAAAAGGGACATTAGAAACCACAAGAGAAGCACTAGTATTAGAAGGTAAAAGTTAAAGGTAAAGGACCCCTGGATGGTTAAGTCTAGCAAAAGGCAACTATGGGGTTGCAGAGCTCAACTCGCTTTCAGGCCGAGGTAGCCGACGTTTATCAACAGACAGCTTTCCGGTTCATGTGGCCAGCATCACTAAACCGCTTCTGGAGCAACGGAACTCAGTGGTTTAGACCACAGCGCAACCCATGTCCTCCTATTAGAAGCGATGGTTAATAAAGGCTGTGCACTGCTGTGCTCCCTCCCTGCTGAAAGTAATGGGTACAGTCACTGAAGGCAAACGTAGTGCACAAGAATAGGATGGGGTGCAGCTGGCCAGCTCCCACCAATCACAAGAGACAGGAAAGTAGAAATTGCACATGGTACCTGGGACTGAAATGGGTTCATCTCTTTTCTACAAAGGGAGCTGTGTGTTTACTCTGCTTTCAATGTAAGGACTCTATCTGGGGAGTGGTGACAGTGCCTCTGAGTGTATACAGCTTGTCTTTCTTTCCACCTCTAACAAACCACTGCCAGTTCTCAAACATTCAAGATTAAGAAGCAGAGACTGGAGGCCTGATGAATTATTTCCTCAATGCTTTCAGAAGATATACTGTATTTTTCACTCTATAACACGCACCAGACCATAACACGCACGTAGTTTTTAGAGGAGAAAAACAAGGGGGGGGGAATATTCTAAACGAAATAGTGGATATATGATTTTTGTGGTTCATGCTGTGGCCACAGACATGTTATCTGACAGTGAGTTTGGAGTAGCCCAATGCAAAAATCCTGAGGATTCATGTGGATCCATGCTTTGTAACCACGGAGGAGGGAAGGAAGGGGAACCATGGATCCTCTGCTCACGACTGCAGCAGATCCCCCCGCCACCCGCAGGCATTCGCTCCGTAACACGCATAGACATTTCCCCTTACTTTCTAGGAGGACAAAAGTGAGTGTTATGGTGCAAAAAATACGGTAATAATAATAATAATAATAATAATAATAATAAATGTCTCACCCATGAATTGCATCCCTTGAGGCATCCCAAAGTGATTTACAATGTTACAAAATCATGCATAAAATAATGTAAATATAAAATATTGTGTGTGTGGATAGATAGATAGATAATTAGGTAAGTTAAATATTTAAAACAGCAATAGGACATACGTAACATACCAATTACATCCAATACAGATACCAACATCGACAAACACCTTAATTTAGAAGACTTGTTGAAAGAAGAATATCTTTGGCTGGTGCCGAGAAAACAACAGTGATGGTGCCTCTCTGACATTTAATGGGAGTTCCAAGGAGTAGATGCTCCAATGGCAAAGGCTCAATTCTGATATTATGCAGAAAGATCAGACAGTGCCTGCAGGATAACCTCTCCTGCAGAATGCAGTGATTTTGGTTTGGCATGTAGAGAACTGAGACAATCTTTTAGATGTACCAATCCCCTCGTCCACAATGGGAAAATATAATTCATTCCAAGACTCCTGTGGGAACCCCTTGTTTATTATTACTCAGACTGTAGTTCTTCAGAACAAAACTGTTTCCCCAGGAAATCAACATACCCTATTGAGTATAAATATAAATATCTCCTAAAGTCCAACTATACCTGGAGGATTTTTGACTGCAAGAAATTGGATCCCGAAACTCTGGAGGCACCAAACATTAGGCTGACTCTTTTTCACACACCACAGGAGCCTCTGGGCTGCAATTCACACAACACACTCATCAGGGAGTAGTAATTCCCACTGAGTTTATTTGTGAGTAAATGCCCTGAAGAGTTCAGAGAAAAGAAATGCCACGGTGCACCTGTTGTCTCTCCCATATTGGTCTCTACAGCCACAGCTGGTGCTGTAACTCTCCAATGGTTTGTCTTTATTCCGGAAGGCACACTATTCACTTGTCTCCCAAGATGCCAACACAAAAATCCAGTTAGGAGTGGGCTGCCAATCACCTGAAAGGGAAGGAATGTCTCTCATCCGAAAAGGTTTGCTCTTATAATTAATGAGGGAGCTTTAAATATAGTCAATTTGGGTAGTTGTCATACACCTTACATGAAGGATGTTATTTAAAAAGCAAAGAAAGCAGGAAACAAATGAATAATCAAAACAAATCTCCCAAAAGAGTAATGTAAGCTAATTTTTCCTACTCCACCCCTTCCAATAGATCAGCATCAGCTTATGTCTGGGTGTTAAAAGCGATCCTCCTTTAACACACACACACTCTCTCTCTCTACATAATTTTCATAACTTTCAGAAGCTTCCACCTTACTAAGCATTGTGGGTGGATATTCCATAACTAGACTGCTTCTCTTGAATACTCCCAGCAAAGATTCCACACTTCCCTAGCCTTTTCGACTAGCATTGCTGTAATCCAAAAATATATCCTCATGTTGTTCATCAGAGACCCTTGTTTGGAGCTTCCAAGAAAGGGAAGAGGAAACTGTTGCCCCCCATAGGGCCAACTAGTCCTTATCATACAGCTAATCCAGCTGCCTTGAACTCATCCCACATTGCCATGCCTTCAACCAGTCCTGTTTCCTGCTAGGACTTGATGCTCAATTGAGTACCATAAGGGAGAACAGAAACGCCTTGTTTCAAAAACCCCACTGGCACCACTCAAAGCTTTGGTTATGACCCACAAAGCTATACAGCTTGAGTTCAGGCTCTCTGAATGACCATCTCTCTCTCTATGATTCTGCTCAGCTTGGAGATATTCCAAGGAAGTCTTTCTCTCAGTCCCATCTCACTCACAGCTACTTTTGGTGAAGATAAGAGACAACCTTCTTGGTGGCTGCTCCCAGATTGTGGAACTACCTTCCAAGGGAGACTAGACTGGCCCTAGTCAGCTTCCCTGTCACCAGCAGGCACACTTTTTTTTTCTTCCAACAGGCCTTTTTCCTCGCCAGGCTTCCTCAAACCCAGCCCTGTTTTTGGCATACAACTCCCATGATCCCTACCTAGAAGGACCAGTGGTCAGGGATGATGGGAACTGTAGTCTCAAAACATCTGGAGGGCCGAGTTTGAGGAAGCTTGTTCTTTGGCCACTAACTGGCTGTCATGGCAGGGTAGGTGTTGTTCTTTGTGTCCGCGTGTGTGTGCTTTTAAAATGATTTTCAGAGATTCTCAGTGCTGTATTTATCATAGCAACTATCAAAACAAATACATTATTTGTAATAATAAATAAAATATAAGCCAATCATTAAAAACATTTTATATTTATAATTTAATATCTCTTCTTTGTTAGTCACCGTAATAAAAACAGGGTTTTAGTGATTTGGTATCTTATTACATTCCACAGAAAACTTGTCTGAAATGCTGTTTGATCCTCCAGAACCTGTCTATTTGTACATATGTGTGTGGAATCTCGATTAAAATAAAAATGGGGGAAATAAACTGAAAGTTAACTTTCCTAAATATTTCTGTTGTTTTCTGCTCACCTGCAGCAACCTAACAGACAAGTAAATGGTGAAACAAGGTAAAAAAAACACCACTAGGCTACCCGCCAGGTGGACCAGGGTGCCCTGTCCCCACTAAAGACCTTCTGTGGGTTTTCACTTTGCTTCTCCATTTGAAGGAGGCTTGGTTCAGAAGAGCCAGGAATCTGCATTGCAAAAGTAAAGAATAACAAATCGCTGGCCTAGATCATGTTTACATCTCTTGATGAGATTAGCTCGGCAAGCGGTTCAGAAGATCACAATCCAATTAGGGTACGAGGGTGACCGAAAAAGAAAAAGGAACCCCGGCAGCGACCCTAAGCAAGGGAGCATGGGGAGCAATCCCCACCCCACGCACTCATTGAGCAAAGCCCGCAGGTCGCAAAGCGGCGCCTTTCGGGAGAAGGAGGAGGGATCGCGCTTGCGCACTTCCCTCGGAACGCAGGTAAGGAAAGAGGGGATCTCCTGGAACCCGCGAATCCTTCGGCGGAATTAGGCGAAGGCGAGCCTTGGTTAGAGAAGAGCCCAAATTTCAAAGGTCCTCCGGAAGACCCGCCCTTCGCCGCGGCACTCTGAGGCGTTGAGCGGGATCCGCTGTGATGCCTCTGTCTGGGGTTGTTTTTTTGGGTTGTCGCCATCCCGTTTTTCGAGCTGGGGCGGGGTAAAGGGGTGCCTGCTGTTCAAATGATAAATGGATCCCGATATTGGGGGATGAGAGAAGCGGGGAGGGGGCGTGCCGGATCCTTTGAGCGATCCTTAACCAATGCATTAAAAAAGAAATAACTTTTGCAAGCGTTTGTGTGTGCAGACAAATGCTCCCTCGTTGGATCAGCGACAGCGATGGCAGACGCAGGCGGAAGAGCAATGCAGAGTTAGGGGGGGAGTGGGGGGGGTCAGGCAGCTGCCTCCCTCCCTCCAAGCCGAACAGTGAGTGTGGGGAGGGGAGGGGGGTCTGATCTCGATCTCTCTTTCTCCCGCCTCCCTTCCAATTTATTAGGATGGAGGAGAGTGGGAAGGTCAAGCCGCGGTTGCCACTGAACTGGGAAGAAAGTTGCCGCGCAGCAGCAGAAAAGGGCGCCTGGTCCGCCGGGGTAGCGCTGGTCCAAAGAGCCAAAATCCTGCGTTTTTGTATTTTTCTTATTTCCCCATACAAACACACATACACAAATAAAAAAAATGGGCGTATTTAAGGGGGGGTGGGCAGGGTTTATGTTGGGCGGGGGGTGGAACTAAGTTATCTGCGATGCAATTGGTCAGTTAGTTAAGCACTTTCATTTATTTACTTGATTTAGGGGGGAGCAGCTGACCCACCCCGGACTACGCCCATGCACACAAACCCAGTACTGGAACTTGGTATTGCTTCTTGATCACAGGGGTTGAGGAGTCCCTCTCTGGGGACAGGATCAATTCCTCACCTTTCCCTGGCAGCTCTTTAAACGGCCTAAGGTCCTGCCAGCGCTGAGGGAGATTGTAGCCTGCCTTGACACACTCCTGGAGAAATAGGAAGGGGAAGCTTCCCGCTTCCTGTTCCTTCTGGAATCACCGCTCCATCCCTTGTTCCCTGTATGATGTTACTGAGCCAAAAAGTAGGCCTAGCGGAAATAATCACACGATCTTCCTCTTCCTGCTTCTTATAACCAACTTGCTGGCTCCCATTTCCTCTGTTGATGGCCGTGCCTGTATTTAAGTGCCTCCAGACTCTCTGTGTGTCACAGGAGGGGTTCCTGCGTAAATTTAGGTACACTGTTGTCCTGGTGCAAGAAACCCCGCTTAAAAATTAATAAAAATGGATCTTCTGCGGTTAGGGAACTGACAGTGTAATGCACTGAGAAGTGTGGGGTGAGCAAATGATGAATGGGAAGGCAGTTAAACACACTAGGAGTAAACAGGATGAATGCTCTTTGTTGTGTAAGTCCATAAGTAAATCCAAAGGAAAGCACACTAAATAGTTAGCCGCAGGGTAAAGCAAATCAGTAGGGATACTCAAGAAATCAATTGTCTGCAGGAACCGTTAGACTGTAAGCCCCTTCCGCAAATGCAGCTAACTTGATGTTGCTAGGCTATGGTTCTCATCACTCCCAGCCAGCATGCCCAGTGGTCAGGGGTGATGGGAATCCAACAACATCTGGAGGAGACCATGCTACACAAGGCCTCATTCTCCTTGTCATCAGTGTGTAGAAGGCATCAGTCTGGTTCACACATAACACTAAACCTTGATTTGTGGAACTGTGGTTTATTACATGATGGTGTGGCATTAAATGTGAACCATGTCCTATGGCTTAACTATGGTTTCTTTATTGCCATCAAACCACCATCTGAAGCCACAGCTTGTTGGCTTATAAATCTTGGCTTGTTTTAATTATGACTTGATGCTTGTTTTGTTTTTGTTTTTTTGTTGTAATTCAAAAATGTAAACAAGGAATAACATTTTTATTTTAAGAAAGCAAACGGATGGGGCAAGAGTAGCTGGAAAATAAACCAAACTGTGGAGAAGCAAACTGGTTTGTTTGATCATCTATGAGACAAGTTGTGGTTTGTGAAACAAACCATGGCTTAGCATTAAGACAGACCAGTATGCTCCTTTATAATGTGTTTTTGCTAACATTTTACCATATGCTGTCCACACCAGTGGGCACAGTAGGACGAGAAGTAGCCAGGTTTCACCGTGATAAACCATTGCCCACATAATTTGTTTGTTTTACAGCAGAAGTGTGCAATTCTTAGACTCACAGAATTGTAGAGTTGGGTCATCTAGGACTCAGCTACATTAGTCAAAAAACCTGCTATGAATGCGTTATAAACATGCAACACTATAGATGGTGCTGGAGAGCAAAAAAATATCTTCGTGATTTTCCATCACAGGTTTTTTTGTTTGTTTGTTATACAGTGGTACCTCAGGTTACAGATGCTTCAGGTTACAGACTCCACTAACCCAGAAATAGTACCTCAGGTTAAGAACTTTGCTTCAGGATGAGAACAGAAATCACACAGTGGCAGCGTGGCAGCAGCGGGAGGCCCCATTAGCTAAAATGGTATCTCAGGTTAAGAACAGTTTCAGGTTAAGAACGGACCTCCAGAATGAATTAAGTTCTTAACCCGAGGTACCACTGTAATGATTTAATTTCTGACTTATTTATAGCGGGGGTTTTTTCCCTTTGTGTAGATCCAACCCTATTCTAACCCGCTGCAATGCAGGAATCTCAACTGAAGCATCCATGACAGAAGGTCACCCAACCTCTGCTCAAAAACCTCATTCGTTCAACGTTGCTCCTGTGACTTCCAACACTGTTCCACTCCTTGCGCAGCATGGAACCTCATGTGTTGCTCCAGCTGCTGAAGTTACACCTTGAGGTATTGGTTGTGGTGCTCCACTCAGCCATCAGCCGATGCAACGCCTATCTTATGAGTATCAGAAGGCGGCAGAGGAGGAGAGTGCTGATAGGGCGGGCGATTCAGAACCACATCTTGAGGACTAGGCGCATCATTCAGAGGAGGAGGAGCTGCAGACATATGGTTCCTATTGTCACCTTGTTGGAAAGCGGGCCAAAATTGCGGCGCTGGTGGGTCTGCCCCACCAAGCAGCATTGGTGGGAGCGTTCCATGTTGGGGACCCGGGACGACGAAACGTGGATCGAGAGCTTCCAGATGAGCCGAGGGACCCTCTTTGAAATTGCGGACGTCCTCCGACCCCAGCTCCAGAGGCAGAGAACTATCATGCGGGAAGCCATCCCCGTCGAGAAGCGGGTCGCTATCGCCGTGTGGTGGCTCTCTAATCTGAAGTGCTACCGCGAAGTTGCCGCACAGTTTGGAGTCGGGAGGTCGACGGTGGGAGAGATCGTTCTGGAGGTGTGCTTTGCCATCAAGCACCTGCTCGTCCAGAAGACAATCTATTTGGGTGACTACTGGAAGGTAAAGTTTTTTTAAAACGTGTTTTTAAAAAAGTTGCTGCAGTTGCACAGCTTCAAACTTAACACCGCTGTGCCACACTGCTGCATTGTCTGGAGGGTGTGTGAGTGTGTTAAGTTGCACATTGATAGACAGATAGATAGATGATAGGGATAGATAGATGATAGATAGATAGATAGATAGATAGATAGATAGATAGATAGATAGATAGATAGATGATAGATAGATGATGATAGATAGATAGATAGATGATAGATAGATAGATAAATAGATAAATAGATGATAGATAATTTTTCTGTTTTACAATTTCAAATACTCATTTTACATCCTTAAGATATCAACGACTTCCCTTTTTCTCTTTCCATGCTTCATTTTACATATCTTAAATGTGTGGTGTAGTGGTTAAGAGCGGTAGTCACGTAATCTGGGGAACCGGGTTCGCGTCTCCGCTCCTCCACATGCAGCTGCTGGGTGACCTTAGGCCAGTCACACTTCTCTGAAGTCTCTCAGCCTCACTCACTCACAGAGTGTTTGTTGTGGGGGAGGAAGGGAAAGGAGATTGTTAGCCGCTTTGAGACTCCTGAAGGGGAGTGAAAGGCGGGATATCAAATCCAGTCTTCTTCTTCTTCTTCCTTGCATACTTTAACAAAAACTACACCAATCGGTATTCCATTACTTCATCCATCAAAACTTACTGTTGAACTTATCTTAACGCTGCCAGCGTTTTCAGCTATACTGTACACTATTATTTTCCATATATTCAATAAATGTTTTCCAATCTTCTTTAAACATATGTTTATAGTTACAGGTAAAAAGTTGGACAGATGGCAAGAATAATATCAATAGCGTAAGAACATATGCTAATTGATATTATTCTTGCCATCTGTCCAACTTTTTACCTATAACTATATGGGGCAATTGCCATTGTATCTATGGGCACTTATGGAGTAGTCAATGTAGCAAAATGTTGCTTTCTTTGACATTTTCATCCCACCTTCCCAGATATAAAATCTTCCTTAGGCAGCTTACCATCATCATCATCATCATCATCATCATCCCCACCTTTTCCTCAGACTGGGACTCAAGGCAGCTTACAGATAATATAGTTATACAGATAAAACTTCAATATACATTAATAAAATTAATGTAAGCATGAAAACATAACAGTTGCACAGTGTCAGAATACCACTTGCTGAAATCCTGTTGGTGACCTGCCATGTTTTATATTATGTGGAAGAGATTTCCCATACAAAACGACTGAATTGTTCGAAACTGCATGGGTTGCTGAGGTGGGACGGGATAATTTGGGAACATGGGGCAGAAACTCTCATATATTTGCATTGTAGTTTATATGGAATGTACCTGTTTCCTGAACAGTGTTTTTCTGTTTTGCACTTGCAATGCAAAATTAGTAAAAAAAAGACTTACACAGCACAAAAATAACACAGCTTGCTACTATGCCATATTACTGTGACTTTTTTAGGACATGGTGGGTGTGCTGTGTGGACATTTTTGGGGTGAAATTGTTGGCACAACCACAAAACTACTGTTTTAAAATTTACTACTTCTTTGTTGCCGCTTACAGATCATGGATGGTTTCAGGAAGATGGGATTCCCTCACTGCGTTGGCGCGATGGACTTGACGCATCTGTCCATAATAGCTGCTACGGGTCCGGGAGACGAGTGCAACAAGCCAAAGAACTTCTGTTCCATTCTGCTTCAAGGGACAACCGACCACACTGGCCGTTTTACTAACATCGAAGTGGGATGGAGCGGGAAGAAACATGACGACGTGCAGATCTTCCGCAAATCTGTGCTGTGCCAGGCTATGGACGAGGGCACCTTTGTCCCGGGGAACCCAACTATCAACATGCAAGGTGTGGAGATCCCACCTCTAATACTCGCCCATAGCACCTACCCTATGCGGAAGTGGCTCATGAAGCCCTACGGAGGCCCCTTGGACCAGAGGAAGACCATCTACAATAGGACTTTCAACCACTGCCACAGCGTGGTCCAGCAGGCCTTTGGCAGGCTCAAGGCAAGGTGGCGTTGCCTCACGGCGAGGCTGCCAGTGGCAGAGGAGAACGTTTTGGCGGTGGTCACCGCGTGTGTCGTGCTGCACAATATTTGTGAGACCAAGGGGCACGTCGTTCCCGAAGGTGTGGACATCTCTGAGCACGTACTGTTGGCAGCATATAACGAGGACTGCCATTCCTACGAAACCAGCAGTGAGTCGGGAGGCGAGGAGGTGCGCAATGCGATCTCACATTACCTGGCAGGAAATACTGAATGCTGAGATCTGGACTTTGCATTTCAGTGTGTTTTGCATTTATTTTGTAAATATAATTGCCTTGGTTACACTCACGCGTTTCATTTGTGTGTACGCCATCTACACTCGTTGAGTAAAGCTCAGGTTAATGAAGCCAGATCCCCTTCCCCTCATTCCTAAAATTCCATATTTTGCATTTTCCTGTTTTTAAAAAATCATTACAGTTCATACCATTTGCACAAGTTGAATTAACATGTTGCTGCCATAAAGATGAATGTTAAGTGCACATACAACCTGCTTCGCCCCCACCCTAAAACTCGTAATACTACCTCCCCACAAGAGCAAGACATCTGCCCCCAGATGTACAAACAAACAACAACAGCTTCCCTGTGAAAAAATAACAGACAAGTTAACGAAGGTATTGAAACACACTGCCCCTTCCTCCTGCTCTAGGGAAGGGCTCTGATTAAGCCATCTCCTCTGACCCCTTAGCACCATGGTGACTGAAACACAACTAGCTGGAGGAAGGAGAGGAGTTGCTTTAATTCCGCACTCCAAATCACAGTTTTTAAGGCGAATGATTCCTTAGAATGTAGCCCTCTTTAGGTGTTAATGGTCCTTGGAGTGACTCACTCAGGATAGCTCTGTGAGCGTAATGGTAGTGTGGGGATTGGAACTCAGGTTTCTCTGGTCCAAGTACCACACACTGGCTAGCCATGCATTTGTTTTCCGTTTAATCAAGCAATCTAAAGACTTGAGGGGGAAAAGGCAGGTTCTTGAATTCCAAAGTTGGGTATGTGACGGGTGAGACAACCCAAAACCTAATTACAGTGGTACCTTCGTTTAAGACCAGCTTAGTTTATGCTGCAAACCCGGAAGTAGGTGTTTTGGTTTGTGAACTTTGCCTTGGAAGCAGAACATGTTGAGTGTGTTGCATTTGTAAATTGAGTCCCCCGCTGCTATGGGAAAGCACGCCTTGGTTTAAGAACGCTTTGGTTTAAGAACAGACTTCCGGAATGGATTAAGTCCATAAACCAAGGTACCACTGTATGTGGAAACCACTGCCTCCTTGGAGGAAGTTCCATTACTAGGGAGCTATAACCAAGAAGGTTCTGCAAAAAAGGTGCCTGGTCATTGAGGCCACCCAGGGATGCTGCCAGGGATCAGTAACTACAGGTAACATGTAAGCCCCATCTTGCATGCAGCCAGTTATCAAGGCCAATTAATCTTCCACCAATGTCCTCCAACCACACACTACTTAAGTCTTTTCGTTGGGCTCTATTCACATCTGACTTGTCACTAAGGACATTGTTCAATGTAAAAGAACAAAAGGGTGGTTTGGGAGGAAGTGGGATGACTTTGGTGTGGGTGTGACAAGGTTAGGTCTGAAGTGTTACATCCACCTGAAAAGGAACCTCTTCCTGAATTAGGATGGCATTCCACCCTTATCCTAAACCAAGCACTGATTCCCAGCCCTATATAAGGAAGCCTTTTAATGTGTAATGTTTTATTATGTTTTTATATGTGTTGGGCGCCACCCAAAGTGGCTGGGGCAACCCAGTCAGATGGGCGGGGTACAGATAATAAAATTATTATTATAATACACACATTGGCATATGGCATCATGGAGTCCTGGAGTCCAGCAGTGACAAAGACAGCAAGTCGGAGACTACAGAGTCATCAGCTAGGATGGAAGTCTGAGTTCCCAACTGACACTGATAAAACGTTCCTATTTTCATCAACGTTCTCCTATTTTTCTTGGAGAAATGTTGGAGGGTAGGTAATGTTGGTGATGCAAGAGACGACTGAACCTGAAGGCTGGTAGACAGGAGTCCCCTGAACCATAACCGCACAAGAATATCCTTGTTGGATCATGCCAGTGGCCCACCTACTTGCTTGTTCCGAAGTTGGAGCCCCTGTGTGTGTGTTGACAGCAAGCATATACTGTATAGTTGTCTCCAAAATCAGGAATTTTGGCTAATAGCTGGTGCTAGAAAGAGGACGGTGTCTTGGGGTGCAGTAAACGCCTCATGGCGTCCTTCACTTCTTTGTTCCTCAGGCAATATATGATAGGGTTGAGCATTGGCGTCACAACATTGTAGAGCACAGTTGCCAAGGTGTCAAAATATACAGAACGGCTGGCACTGGGCCTGTTATAATTGAACATGCAGGTGACATAGAATAAAGTGACCACCGTGAGGTGCGAAGTGCAGGTGGAGAACGCCTTGCGGCGGCCTCGGTTGGTACGGATTCTCAAGATGGCCGCCACGATGTGGACGTAGGAAACCACGATGCAAAGGAAAGGACTGACGCCGAGCAGCAGGGTGACTGCCAGCAAGGTGATTTGGTTGGGGAATGTGTCCGCGCAAGACAGCTTGAGTAGCTGGGGGACGTCGCAGAACAAATGGTCCAGGTTGTGAGAGGCACAGAAGGGCAGGAGAGCGGTCATGGCCGTGTGCAGGACTGAATTGAGGAAGCCGCAGGCCCAGGAGGCCGCCACCAGCCGGGTACACAGCTTCCTGTTCATGAAGATGGTGTACGTAAGTGGGTGGCAGATGGCGACGTATCGGTCATACGCCATCACGGCCAGGAGGAGGCACTCAACCCCTACGAAAGTCACCAAGAAGTAAAGCTGAGCCAGGCAGCCCAGGATAGAGATGGTCTTTGTCTCCGTCAACAGATTCTTGAGCATGTGGGGCAGAGTGACGGAGGAATAGCAAATGTCCAGGAACGACAGGTGCTGGATGAAATAGTACATGGGCGTACGAAGGCCAGAATCTAGCCCTGCGGTCACCAGGATAAGAGCATTGCCCAGCAAGGTGGTGATATACATGGTCAGAAACAGGAGGAAGAACAGGGCTTGGGGCTCTGGGAAGCTGGAGAAGCCCAGGAACACAAATGATGTTGTCGCGGTTTGGTTTCCCATCTGCCTCACCTCCTGTACCTGAAATGTGGGAGAGATTTAGGAGACCAAATGGAGGGACCACACCCATAACTGAAAATCATGCTTATTCCCAGCACACACAAAGCCCCATTCACTTGGTTGTATTTATTTCATCTGTGATCTCCCAAGCACACCATGAGTTACAGCAAGAGCTGGGATAGCTCAAGGGGTAGAGCATGAGACTCTTAATCTCTTCGTTTTGGGATTGAGCCCCACCTTGGGCAAAAATAAATAAATCCTGTATTGCAGGGAGTTGGACTAGATGACCCACGTGGTCCCTTCTGACTCTACAATTCTGATTCTATGTAATCTGCCCTTTCCTCCCTATTTGTTTCCTGATCTATAAGATACCTGATTATTCATTTCTGTCTCTCTCTTGCACCTTCAGCATCTCTTTCTTTCTTTCCCTCTTTTTCTTCTTTTGCAGCTTGTGATTCAAGCCCAGCCTTTGTCCACTAGATGCCCTGAAGATGTTGCTGGATTATAGCTCCCATCTTCCATGACCATCGGCCATGCTGGCTGGGTCTGATGGGAGTTGGAGTCCCATGACATCTGCAGATGTGGGGCAAGCCTGGTTGAGGCAAGCTGCTCTACCATCTCTACCGGTTTGTTAGTGACTTCCTCTTCTCTCTCCTTCCTAAACCTCACTTCAACTGCTGCTGCTTCACCAGTGTGCATCACAGCAGAGATTTCTCATCCTTTGCTTCCTCTGTTAGCTTTGCAGTCTCTGCTTCACTTCATACTTCTGCTCTATTGACAAAGCTGCATGAATCCCACAGTGCAGGGCTAGGAAAGCCAATCTGGTGCCCTCCTGACTTTTCTAGACTACAACGCCCATCGGCCTCAGCCAACACGGGCAGTGGTCAGGAATGGTAGGAGTTCTAGTCCAGAAACATCTGGATGTTGTTGACTGTTTTGGGTGTAGAATGCTATGAGAAAGTAGATTCTGCCCCTGTAAATACAGATATTTCTGTAATAATGTAACTGGGATAGGATTAACATAACACAACTCTCTTAGATGCAGGATGTGTCATATTGGACACCTGGGACCTTGGCTCAAATATTTGTTTGACCATGAAGTTTAGTAACGGTGACCGTAGGCAGTCTTTCAGCCTAAGCTGCCTCAAAGGGTTTTTCTGAGGGGCACTGGGATAGCCCAGTTTTATCAACAGCCATTTAAAAAAATAAAAGCATTTCTTGTAGTGAGTAAGCACTGCTTCAGGTGGGGAAATGCTTGCAAACTGGATGGGAATGAGCTCTATTCCCCACCCAATCGCAGGCACTTGAATTTTGAGTACAAGCAACGTTCATGGGTTTTCTTTTCTTTTTTCCAAGATAGAGATGGGAGGAAAGCTGAGGAACAAGCTGTGAAGTCAATACATTCCACAGTGCCCTGTTTAGTCAGTGGACTCATGTCAGAGTTTTGGAAGCGGGCTGTCGTTCTTGGTGGACAACAGTAAAGTTGCCTAAGGGATCAAAGAGGAATATAAAAAATTTCCCAGCCTTTCCCCCATCCATTTCCTCTGCTTGGTGTTTATAGATGCTACAATCACAGCAAAATCTGAGAAGACAATGCTAAACTAAATTTGTTGGAAGACCAGTGAAGCAAGGCAATTGACAGCAAGAGAGATGCTGGCAATCACTGTTCCAGATGAATCTTCCTGTGTGATTTTCAGCTACTCTGAATTCAAGGTTGCAATGGTTTTTGAGTCTGCAAACCAATTTAGTTAAAACAGTTCTATGTGATCTTTGCCCCTTTGACTTGCCTGGCTTCAATTGCCTTCACATTTATAGACTCAGGCTTGCTTGAAGCTGCTTTAAGTTGAGTGAGGTCAATGGCCCATGTTAGTAAAGTATTTACTCTGACAGGTACATAGGAACATATGAATCTGCCTTCTACTGAGACTGGCCAGTGGGCCACAGAGCTCACTATTGTCACACAGACAGCAGCACTCAAGGATTCCTGGCCAGAGTTTCTCCCAGCCCTAGATCATCCTAACAACCCACAAAACATTCTAGAGTCTCACCTCAAAACAAAAAAGTATGTTGCATTACAGAGGTAGCCAACATGGTGCCCTTGGGATGTGGTTAGACTGAGCTCCATCCTAAGCAGTGACAACAAAATGAAGATGCCAAGCCAGAGAGTGAGAACAAGAGATGAATAGCTAGGTAGACCAACAGATGGACAGGGAGCCAGGAAATAAGTTGCATTAAGGACCATAAATATATTTACCAGTACAGAAGGGTCTCTTTTGTATTATCTCCAGTAAACGCCCATTTCTTGTAATCACACCCCATGAATAAGCCCGTGTATATCGTAGTTCTTTGAATACACAAAGCATTTAAAAAAATATCCCAGTGTATTTGCTGCAGATCTGAGGAGCAAACATATCTCAATGCCTTTGGGATTGATTAACTCAAAGGAATTGGTACTCTTAGAGAATTGTTTACTTGCTATAAGAAGTTCCGTCCCCCTTGAGCATTATGTTTCTTGATTGGACCCAGAAGACTTCAAGATCAGCCCAGTACAGTCTATTCTTACAGTGAATAATAATAATAATAATAATTATATGCCGGCCATCTGACTAGGTTGCCCCAGCCACTCTGGGCAGCTCCCCCAAAAATATTAAAAACACAATAAAGCAGACTGCACAGGATACAGACTGTACTGTTACATTTCTCCATGTGCAATAGCACTTACTTGAGTTTGGTTTCCTTTGAAAGGAGGCTTATTGCCATTTTGTAATATTTGCATTTATTTACAGATAGACAGGATGAGCATAGGTGGAGGCACAACTTCAGTACTCCAAAAGTCCATCACAGTTCACTGTTCCTGCATCAGATCCATTTTGAAAATCATTGCCACTGGTGTTACCCAATGAATGACTTGAAAGCATCAGACTATTCCGCAACATTGTGGAAGATAAACAGATGTGAATCTGATCGGCATCTGGGCATAAGCTGCTTTGAGCAGGCCATATCAGACAATCTGACTCCCGTTTTGTGGGGAGAAAAATAGATATAAACCTTCCATGTGGGAGAATTGGCTTGATCCCTAGATATAAAGTGCGGGGCTAAACAGATGCTCCAGCAAGAGAGAGCCTGAAGCAGAGTTTAAAAACACAGAATTGTGCAGCAAGTGAGTGAAGCATTAGAATAAAAGTCTGTGGGACCTTTTAAATATTCTTAACACAGAGAAATCCCTTGTTAAACTCAAATGTCTTTCTCCCTTTATCTGCGTATGTGTGCACAAGAGAGGGAAATGGTAATATTTCCCTTTCCAGTTCCCAAGGAAAAGTTTACTGGGAGGGAAGACTTTTCTGCTAGGAAGAGTTTACACCAGGCATAGGCAAACTCGGCCCTCCAGATGTTTTGGGACTACAGTTCCCATCATCCCTGACCACTGGTCCTGCTAGCTAGGGATCATGGGAGTTGTAGGTCAAAAACATCTGGCGGGCCAAGTTTGCAAATGCCTGGTTTACACTTTGGTTCTTTCTGCTCACATAGCAAAAAGAGCTCAGAAGGAAAAGGAGAGACTGACACATTTGCAGAGGCGTGCAACATTTTTATTTAAGATATTGAAAACCAAATAAACTTCACTGTGCACAACTGGTTCCACACATTTCAAAACATGTTTTGATTTCATGCCAGGATTTCAAAATCTTGCTTCCCAGTTCCAGATCTTTAGGTTACACAGGGCAGCACATAAGCCAGGGATGCCATCTTCATTTCAACATCAGGAAATGGCATTGCATGCAAAGTTGGGTGGGACATGTCCTCCGGCTCACCCATAGCTCTATTCTGGACCATCTGCTTGTGGAAGTTGCATAGCTCAGTTGGTTAGATCGTGGTGCTGATGACGCCAAGGTTGCAGGTTCGATTCCCCTATGGGACCGCTGCCTATTCCTGCATTGTAGGGGTTGGACTAGGTGATCCTCAGAGTCCCTTCTAACTCTACAATTCTGTGTTTCTGAGGGAGCTGCTGAATTGAGACAATTGTGTTTCCATAACACTTGCCTTTGTGCTGCATTTCTAGGCACATATTTGGGCTTTCCAGTCCATGTCCAAGCATGTACTGTATTTTTCGCTGTATAAGATGCACCAGACCATAAGACGCACCTAGTTTTTGGAGGAGGAAAACAAGGGGGGGGGAATTCTGAATCTCAGAAGCCAGAACAACAAGAGGGATTGCTGCACAGCGAAAGCAGTGATACCTCTTGCTGTTCTAGCTTCTGGGATAGCCTGCGCAGCCTGCATTCGCTCCATAAGACACACACACATTTCCCCTTAATTTTTTGGAGGGAAAAAGTGAGTCTTATAGAGCAAAAAATACGGTATTTATTTTTGCCTCACCACTTTCCCCATGAAAACCCGCTCTTTGACACTGAATTGGAGCAAGTGGCAATTTGAGGAAAACCTGAATTGCTGTTTGTTCGAATTCAGCAGTAGAGACTGGGTTTTCCTGGGGAATGTGGAGGGACAAAAAATGGAAAGTGCGTGGACATGGGCCAGGGAAGTGCAGACCTCTGGCATAATCTTTAATGGACTTTAGCCCATATCATCAGACATCTGAAAATGAAGGAATATATGGAAACCTAAGAAGAAATGAGCTAGACTTTAAAGTGCCACAAGAGTCTTTGATATTTTTGTTGTGGCAGACTAAAACAGGTTCCCTTCTAGAATTTGTTTGCTCAGGTTCTTCATGCTGTGACTACATTTCTCCAGGGCAAACATTCAAAATTCCACAACAGCTGAATTCCCAAGCTAAAATGTCAGTGCTCGACATCAGAAATGTTTGTGTTTCATTATTTCACTATCCTTAAGCTCACTTTCCTATTTTTCAAGACTTTAGGTGACAAATTATAGGCTTTTCTAGACACAAAAGTATTAGTTGAAAAGACACTTGCGGGGACCAGTACAAATGTGCACCTATACAAAAATATACATCAAAAGAAAAGGCCAGCATTTCTGATATTAAAGGG